TAGGCAGTGGTGCTGCGGGCCGGGCGCGGCGGGGCCGAGGACAGTCAACGCCGTGGGCGCTTTCCAGTCCAGGCGTCGCGGCACCCGGAACTGCGGGCCTGGCCCCCGTCGCGCCCGCCACCCTTAGCGACCTCCCTTTTCCTCTGCACCTCCTGATAGAGCTTCTGCTCCCGCCCCCGGTCCACGCGGGCACCTGCGCTGCTGGGCCATCGGTCCACGCGGTAGTGGTTGGCCTTCATGTCATCCAGGAATTTCTCGATGATCCACTGCTGCCAGCGGCGTGGGTCGAAGGGCGCCTGGTCTTTGGATTTGCCCTTGCCCTGCTCCTTGCAGTTGCGCCTGCACCACGAGTGCCAGGCCACGTTGAATGGGCGCCCCCCTTCCGTCTGCAACCTCTTCACGCGTGCTACTGCTGTCTCGTTTGGGAGGCGCTACCATCCAGCGCGGAACGCGGCGCGTGTCTGGCCGGCGTCGGCGCGGCTGCGGTCGCCCTTGCAGTGAGAGCCGCGCGATTCTGGCCGGCGCCAGGGTGCGCTGCCTGAGCCCCAGCCAGCGTCATGGGCCTGGTCCCAGTAGCGCTCCTTAGTTCTGTCCCCGTCCTTAGCGTCGCGTCTGCGCCACGGTGCCCCCGCCGCGCTCAAGTTGCGGTCGCGGTCGCGGTCGCGGTCTCGCTCCCCTGCGCGCGGCCGGTCGTCCTCTCTAGACTCGCGCCTCACCGCCGCAGTGCACAGCTCCCAGGCGACTGGGGGGTGCGCCGAGAGAGGGGCGAGCGCAGGGCGCGGGCCCTCGGGGCCCCTGGAGCGGCCCCGCCCGCGCAGGTTCCGATCGTCGGCCACGGTCTCGGGGCGCGGGATTGGCTCGGCGGGTTCGCGGGCAGCCCTCCAGTCGGCACTGGTGGTCGATCTCGGGGCTGGCGCGCCGCTCACTCTGAGGACTCGTCTTGGTTTGGTGCTCTTCAACTGCGCCCGCGTCAGAGGACGCCTCGGTGAGGCGCAGCTCCTCCTCTTTAGCCTGGTCTTCGCTGCCCCAGTCAGGGTCCTCCTCCTTAGGCGGCATGAGGGGTGCAGGTTCGCAAGTGGAGTCCCGTGTGCTGGATTGCTGCGGGTAGGGCTCAGGTCGGGGCCTGTCCTGCATGCGTTCTGCGGACGCTGCTTTGTCTCCCGTGGTGATGACGCCACTCGAGGGGTTGTCGAGGACTGCTGCTGCTTGCTTTCTGTGCACCTTCCCTTAAGCACTCTCCAGAAAGGTAGCTGCGCGGGGCGCTGCGTCTCCACGGAGGACGCAAACGCGAAGCGTCCTGTCGCCGACGCCTCGCACTTCCAGTCACTCTCCGCCGATCTGGACGAGCAGCGCCCGCGCGCCCTGCTCTCGGGCGACGACGCGGAGGACGGGCCCGAAGACGGCTCCACCCAGGGGCTGCGTCGCGAGGGGCTCGTTGCAGTCCGTCGTGCTGAACCACCTGGCGCGGGGAAAGGAGTCACCCCTGATGACCATGTAGTCGCCGCACTGGATGCATTGATTGTCCGTGGCAGCTGGGCATAGGGATCCCAAGGTGGGCGTGTCCGGGACCTGCCCCTGCAGCACTTCGTGGCTGCCGTGTTCCGCACCCCTCCCGAGGGGTTCAGGTGTTGGGCCGACGGGTGGCGGTGCCCCGCTGGACTTGGTGGCCGTGGGCTGTGTGGCCAGCTGGGCTGGGGTCGGCTCGTCGCCACGCGGTGTGGGTGGAAGTGAAAGGGTAATGGGTGAATCGTCTCCGCCAGTGGGCGGCTTAGTGGGTGTTGGGCAGGGGTTGGCTGACTGGACTGGTGTCACGCGCCTTTCCTTGGTGGGCCTTGACGACTGGACTGGGTTGGGTGTCTGCTCGGGGCGCACGCCCGCCCGTGGGTTGGTGTGCTGTTGAGCCCCGCTGGCTGTTGCGCTTCCAGTGGGTGGCTGAGCGGAGGCAGCGGCGTCGGGATCCCGGGAGGGGGGTGGCAGAGCAGAGGCGTGGCGGTCGTGGTAGCTGCGCTCAGCCTCGTCCCAGGCGGCTGCGCGTCGCCGCGTCTCCTCTGGGCTGGAGCGCGCTGCGCCCTCTGCCGTTGAAGCGGGGATGCCCCGTAGCGCGGGGAGAGGTTTGTCCCCTGCTTTTGGGTATACGTCAAGGCTGTATTTACTAAGTACCTCGCTCACGACTGATGGGCACATGTCCAATTGGTGGATAAGGCATTCCTTGCGCCCGCGTGCCAGCGCTTGGCCAGGAACATTTCCCTCATCAGCTGTACGGGGGGGGCCCGTGGACCAGGCTGAAGCCGTCGCGGAGTCCTTCTGGATCCGCGGCGTGCCCGTACATGCCTGGGTAGGCCTGACCCGGTCCCCACCTGCGCCCCTCCACGCCCGAGGGGCATCCGTCACATCTCCATATGCCGACATTCCCCTTGTGGAATTGGCTGATCAGGCGGTCGTCGTTCGTGACGCTGGCTGGGAGGGTGGTTCCCACGTTGAGGGGGTTCAGGTCGCCTTCCAGCGGGACCCGCAGCTGGTCCAGGGGCGTCAGGGCCGTGGGTAAGGGCGTCGGACACATCCCAAGAAGGGCACGCGTTGCGCGGATGGGCATGTCGTCGGGGCGGTCGTTGATCCAGTTTTTGAAATCCACGTCGTCAGGAATGGGCTGTGACTTGGCCGTTGCCGTCGTAGTCCAACAACAAATCCAAAGCCAGGTCAGGTCCTTCCCATGGTAGTATTCCGTCAGCCTGTTGCTGTTGATGGTTTGGCGGATCCGTTTGCTGACGCATGCGCCTTTTATCGTGTTTGAAGGGGCCGCACAGGCATCCTTGACAGTGCAAGTCGGCCTTATACTGGTCCTTCCTCCACCTGGTGTCTCGGTTGTCTAACCATGGGGGCCTTAGTGTCACTCCAGGGCGTGGCCCAAGAGGGGCCGGTGCGTCCAGGTGCAGGCGCGTATAGGAGTATCATCCACCTATCCAGGTGCCGTTGCTTGCCTGCTTGGTCGTGGTTGACCACACACACGCACACACAGACACACACGTGTTTGTTTCGGCGGCCACGCGCTTAGCATCGTGGCGGTCACAGCGGTGAGGACGGCAAAGAGCAGCAAGCACAGACGGAAAGGAGGACCACGAGAAGCGGCCCCCAGAGGGGTTCAACACACACGAACACACACACACACACACACACACACACACACGCGGACACACGCGGACACACACACACACAAACACACACACACACACACAAACGAACAAACAAACAAACAAACAAACAAACAAGCAAGCAAACAAACAAACACGCGCGCACATGCTTTGGCGTTGCGGCCACGCGCGCGGCGGCGCGGCGTAGGCAATCCGGCGGGCGAACGCGCGAGGCCGGGCCAAATCACGCGACGTGGGGGCCAGGGATCCGCCCATCGGGAGCCGACGGGGTCACAAGTCACGACGGGAGGTGGGGAAGGGGACAGGAGAAGAGGGGAGAGGAGCGACAAGTGGAGACGCAGCGCAAAAAAATCGCAGCGCTAAAATGCCACGGGCACGCCGGTCGAGGGGGAATGCAGCTCTCAGACGGCCCGACCAAGACGGACGGTGGGATGCAACAGGCGCCGAGCGGGCGACGCACACACACATTCACACACACACACAAACAGACACAAGCACACACACACACACATAAACACACACACACACACACACACACAAACACACACAGAGAAAGACACGCACACACACACACACACACACACACACACACAAACACACAAACACATTCACACACAGACACACACACACACACACACTTTTGCCGGTCGCGGCCTTGCGCGCGGCGTCGAACAGGAGAAAATCAAGTTCGGCGGTTAGGGCCCCGCGCGCGCCGGGCTCAGAAAGCGGGGCGACGCCAAGTGTCATCCGGGCGAGGACGGCGAGGAGAACGGGAGGACGAGACAACCACCGGCCAGGGGAGGAACCCGCACGGCTGGCGAAGTAGGCGACGCGGGCAGCACCACAGGCGACACGACGGGCGACGATCGACCAGTGGCGCTCAGCAGGTGAGCGAATGAAAAGCAAAACGACGAAGAGAAACGCGAAAGGGGATGGCAAAGTGCCATGGACGACGCTCAGCGTCTGGACTTGCGGCCCCATGTGAGGTCGCGAGAGCTCGCGGGAGGAGATCCTCTTCTGGGACGCTGCTGCGTCAGGGCCCCTGCCTGGGACAGCAGAGGGCACCTCCTCGACCTGAGGGGCATCTCGGAGGACGCCATCGGGAAGAGAGCGCGTGAAGAGGCTGAGCTGGTAGGCAGAGAAGAACAGGGGTCGAAGGAAGATGTAGGGGCATCCCTCGCACCGCACAGTTCGAAGAGCTGGCTGTTTTCCGAATGGCCCATTCACGCCAGTGGGCTTTCACGAAAGGGATTACCGGGCAGAACTCATCGAGCAAGTCGGCCACACGATTGGCCAGCGCGGCTCGAGCGGCGGTCGAAGCCGACGAGACTGCCGCTCCAATCGCTGTGGAAGAAATGAGTATGCCTGAGAGTCTATCTGCATGTGCCCACCACCTGGGGGACAGAGCCCGCACTAGGAGTCGGGCTGCCCCCCGGAGACGCGTGCGCCTAGAGGGCAGCGCACAGTGAGATTAGAGGTAGGGAGATGCAGGCGTAGCCACCGGCATGGCCCGCAGCATCTCCACGGTCGCAGTGCTGGTGACAGCTCGCGGCCTGGGCGGGGGAGCGCCGGCCAGGCCGCAGAGGCTGCGGGCACGACCCTGACCTTCCAGGAGGGCTAAAAAATAACACGCGACTTAGAAACCCATCCCAGAGCTATTCTACGTCTTGGTCTTAGGCTGTTTCGTTTCGTTTTTTAGGTTGTTAGGTCTCCCGTGCTAAAAAATAGTTCTCTGGAAGGTCAGGGGAGTCGCCCCCGGGCGCACTGTCCCACGGGGCGCGGCCGAAGAGCACTGCGGAGGGCTCGCAGCGCCCGCCCTGGGGCCGGCAGCTTCCCGAGAGTGCCCCCAGAGGCTCCCAAGATGCCCCCTCCTCCTCCTCCTCCTCCTCCTCCTCCTCCTCCTCCTCCTCCTCCTCCTCCTCCTCCTCCTCCTCCTCCTCCTCTTTTCCTCCTGCGGGGCACGGCCTGGGGGCCCCCCGGCAGGCTCTCCGGGAGCGGCGCGGGGGCCCTGCCTGCGAGCCAACGGAGCCCGAGCGCCCGCCCCCCTGCGCAGGAGGCAGGGGGAGCTCGCCGGCGCGGGGCCCGCTGCGGCTGGGATCGCGGCCGAGGGCGCTGCGGGGCGGTGGACAAACCTCCCTTTAGTAAACCTCCCCTCAGTGAAAACGACCTGGGGCCGAAACCGACGGACCTGGGCCAGCAAAAACGACGGCCGCGACGCCATCTCGCAAACCGGAAACGGCCAAGTCCTTAATTGACGTGTCAGGACAGGAGGTCTATCAACCTCCGAGCGCTGCGGGGCGGTGGTCTGGAAGGAGGCGCGTGGAGCCAGCGCGAGGTCGGGCACGTCCTCCCACGGGCGGGTTTGGGCGGAGAGGTGGTCCAGAAGCACTCCGAAGCTACAGTGGGGGCCCGACCACAAGAAGCCTGCCACAAGAAACCCAACCCTGAGACCCCAGGACGCCCGTCGATGTTTGGCGTGGGAACGTCACGCCATCCATGGCAGAACCATCGAAACCAAAGAAACCCAGGGCACCCTGGAGGCAAGCAGGGTGTCTCTTGGCATGGGCCTCCACTGCAATCGAAAGAGCACGACAGATCGTCACCTGACAATTGTTTTACTATTCTCGAATACTCCTCCTGTAGTCGTAGAGGGACACGCCCGACTGAAAGCTAGCGCCATCTCGTGCGCGCGCTCCCTACAAAGGGCCCGCTATGAGAAAACGGGAGGCAGGGCCGCCAGGCAAGGCTCGGTCCGAGGAGGGGAGCACAAACGACGGGCCAGTGCTTACGCAATTTGTTCCTCTCCGATCCCTCCCTCACTCCCGCCCTCCCTCCCTCCCTGACTACCTACCAGACCACCCCAACCTAGCCCGAAGGCCCGAAGTTCGGGTGAGGGGGGTACCTACGGGATCCACACGTGTCTTCTCATGTGTTCCCTGACGCCCCCCTCCACTGGGAATGGAGGGCAGGTTGGGGCCGTCGGGTTGGGCTGGGGTGGTTTGGTGAATGGTGACTCCCTATCCTTCCCTCCCCTCAACCGTCCAGCAGCACTGCTCAATGCCGACACAGGGCAGCCCGCCCCCTCCAGGAGTGCTATCGGAACAGCCGACGCGGGGATCAGCACGATCTTCGGCAAGAACCCCTTGAACATGAAGTACGTCGCCTCGTTGCGCTGCCTGCAAGCCCGCCCAACGGCAGGATCAGCAGAGGACACAACAACTGCGTTGAACAGGGGCCTTCGGAGCTCCGCGCGGCGCTCTTGGACCTGCGCTGGGGCACCCCCCCCCCGGGGGAGGTGCAGCGCGGATCCAAGATAGGGGGCCACATGCGAACCCTACCCCTACCCCCACGAGTTCTGAGGGGGAGGGTGGGGTTCACTCCGCTCGGGAGCTCCCGAACGAAGTGAACCCCACCCTCCCCCTCAGAAATCGTGGGGGGTAGGGGTAGGGTTCGCATGTGGCCCCCTACAAGAGATGTGGCGTTCTCCTTCTCCGAATCAGCGGGCATCGAGTCAGGAAGTCGGATCGAGTCGGAGTGTGCGTCGGAGCGGGCTGCGTCGGCACGAAGCTGGCGGGGTCGAAGTCAGGACGGATCGGCCAAGCCCACGGAGGCACATCCTGTGGGACTGCACCGCGGTATCTGGATGTTTGAGGGGGCCCTGGGCGAGGGCCCCCATTGAGACACGTGGGCGGCTGCACGGTGGTATGAAGGGGGGCCCAGGCCACTCAGGACGACCTCGCACGTCTGGGGAGCTCCAGACTGCACGCCTCGACCAGGGGAACAGTTGCAGGTCGGCTCTCGGTTGCTCTTCGCCCCTGTCACCCTGCTCGCTGAACAATGGCGAGCTGGCACGGCGGCTTGGGGTGAGCACCCAATTCCCCCCGACTGGCTCCCCCACGCTCCCACCTCTTTCCGTTGGCCCCAGCTTGTGGCGTTGGTTTCTGCTGCTCACTCGAGTGCTACGGATTTTGACCAATGTGAGCACATTGCCCCAGACACTGACTGGACCACGGTAGGCAGAGCGCCCGCTCGCATTATCGGCATCGGAATGCCAGAGCTCCAAGTTCAGTTGACGTCTACTCCTGGAGAGGGCAAATGCTCTCACGGGCGTTCTGTGCACATGACTTTGCCAGGCAAAGACAGGCGGCATCGTTTCGCAACAGCTTGCAAAAAGACTTACGCGGCTGGCCTGTGTCAGGCTATCGCCCGTGCTGCCCACTCGTCGGTTCTGTTTTTTGTGCCCAGCCCCGAGGAGAACCCGGATGTGACTTGCCAGCCTGACTCAAAGGTGGCGGGCCACATGCGAACCCTACCCCTACCCCCCTCAGAAATCGTGGGGGGTAGGGGTAGGGTTCGCATGTGGCCCCCTAAGAGGAGGACCCGGACGTGACGTGCCAGCCTGACTCGGAGGGATGTCCTAGAAGGTCTCCGCCTCGTCTACGCCGTTCCCTGGAGCGAGGAAGCGGACACAAGCGCTTCCTGGCCCCTTCCCGATGTTGCCTGCCCCCCCCCCCAAAAAAAAACGCCACGGGAGAGTCGACACGGCATCTCACAGGCATCTCCGCGAATCGGATGCTGACGTCTGCGCTGAGGCCACAGAGGCCCCAGCTCCCAGTCCAGCTCCCAGGCCCGATGAGCTTTTGACCCCCTCGAGGCGGAAGACGAAGAGGTACATCTTGGTGTGCAGAGCGTGGACGCCTCGGCCGTTATTGGCCAGCCCTGCTCGCCCCCCTCCTTCTGACTACCTACCAGGCCACCCCAACCCCACCCGAAGACCCGAATTTCGAGTTGGGGGGGGTAAGGGTTCCGCGTGTGTTTTTTTCGATGTTTCCCGACCCCCCCCCTCACTGGAAATCGACTGTAAACTTGAGCCTTCGGGTTGGGTTGGGGTGGTTTGGTGGGTGGCGACCTTCCGCTCCCTCCGACCCGTCGTCGACGCCGTCGTTTGTCCCTCCTCCTCCTCCTCCCCCCCCCCGGCCTTGCCAGAGGAGCGGCGCTCTTCTCGGATCGAGGCCCAAACTGTTTGGTCGGCGGGTCGGGAGCGGGCCCCTTCCGGTGAAGAGCTAGGCGGGGCGCGCGAAGCCCTAATTGGGGAGACGGGGCGCGGGCGGGCGATCGAGGCCCAAGCAGGCGCGGTGGCCCGCGTCGGGCGGGAGCGCCGCGGGAGGCTCGAGCGGTGCTGCATCGCGCTCCGCGGACCGTCGGCCCAGGACTCCTGGGCTCCTGCTTCGGGGAGGCCCCCCGCAGGGGGGGGAAAGCTCCCCGACCTTTTTTGTTGACGGGGCCCACAAGCACACACACAAATGAATATACACACAAATCACAGGAATCCCCATTTTTCTCCACACGTGCTGGGTTTCGTCTTCCCCCCAGCTTCCCATGTGTTCTCATAGTTTCCTGGGAGTCGACGATTCATTGTGTCTGTGTGTTTCTTTCCCTCCTGATTTGTTCCTCTTCGGGGACTACAGTCGGGACGTTGACCTAAGGAACCCTAAACAAGGAGCGAGGCCCCTTGTTCCCGTCAGTGAAAGTTCGATATCCCATCGAAAACCTGAGGAGAACAATCAAGGAACACGAAGCCCCTCCCCAACGAAAAGGGCTCCTTCTGCAGCGCCCCGACTGTAGGCCTGGCGGTGGGCGGATCCTCGCGTGATCCAGTGCGCCACCCGCAAGTCCCCCAGTGCCCACACCCCATCGAGAGCGCACCCTGCGAAGCCGTGCGTCGCATCATCACCCTACGGGCTCGCCAACTGGGAGGAGCGCTCGGCGGAGCGGAGTGCGCAAGTCCGCCCGAGCGGGGTCCTGAAGGGTCGGCGCGGGGGGGACGGGGCCCTTGCACCGTGGTGTCATAGATGCTCCCAGAGAAGCCGCTGCACGCGTGACCCATTGCCCCTCCCGATCTGTGCCACGCGCAGCTGTCGCAGGCAGTCTGGTCATTGAGAAGAACGCCGATGATCCAAGTGGCGGCCAGGCCAAGCCGAGACAACTTAGCTTGGGGGAAATGAATCCTGAGGGAAACGGGTCCTGGACCCTGGGGCCTTCCCCAGGACCAGTCTTGGGAACGTTTTCTCGTTCAGCGTTTCGACATTGGGCGAAAGGGGGGGGGAGGGGGGGGGGATCTGGCTCTGGACCTCTGCTTCGCGTGGCTGCTTGCAGCAGTGCGTCTTGTAGGGGGAGAGCCCGCCTGCTTGAAACGGGCGCCAAAAAACAGCCAAAATTTGCTCCAGGGTTGCTGTTCAACGCGGGGCTTGGGGCACACCGTGCTCCGTTCTCTGGGGCCTGGGGCGGGCAGGGCCAATACCGCTTGCGCCACTGCCCAGACCTCACGCTCAGAAGGCGGCAGCGGCAGCGGCCGCGGGAGGGAAGGGGGGGAGGGGGAGGCGCGAGGGCCCGCGCCCATCGGCAAACCAAGGAACGAGCAAACGATCACCTCTCAGCCTGAGCTCTTTCCTGACAGTCCCCGGGGGGGCCCGTGGCGGGCCCCGGGAGCTTCGTGGGCCCGACAGGGCCGTTTTTGTTACCGGCTCCGTCTTGCCGTTTTTCTTGCTGGTTCCGACGCCGTTTTGTTACCGGTTCCGTCGCCGCTCTTTTACGGGCTCCCGCTCTGGCTCCAATCCTGGAGCCGTTTTTGTTGCCGTTCCCGGTCGCCGCTTTTGTTGCCGCTTCCATTTTCCAGGGGCACTTTCTCGGTGAGAAGCTCCGGCCCTGCCGCTTCCGGGGCCCACTAAGGGCCTGTCCCTCTTCGGCGACTGGAGCATCTGCGTTGCCAGTGGCGGGCTGCCTGGTGCAATCCCAGGACTTTTTCGAAGGTCGGGGGCGACGTCGGGGTGGTGTGGTGTACAGTCGGCGCGTTGACCTAAGGGACCCTAAGTAAGGAACGAGGCCCCTTTTTTCCATAAGTTAAACTCCGATTTCCCATCGAAAACATAAGGAAACTCTGAGGCAAGCTGTGAGACAATTAAGGAGCACGGAGCCCCTCCACAACGAAAAGGGTTCCTTCTTCAGGGCCCCGACTGTAAAACGGCCCTGCGGTTTCTGGGGCCCTCGAAGCCCAGGAGAGCCCGGAGGAGGAGGAGGAGGAGGAGAAGAGGAGAAGAGGAGGAGGAGGCGGAGGAGGCGGAGGAGGGGGAGGAGGAGGCGGAGGAGGAGGAGGAGGAGGAGGGAGGAGGAGGAGGAGGAGGGGGGAGGAGGAGAGCCCGAGAGCAGCGGAAAACCTCTCGAGGCTGCGCTCCGCACTCCGAGGGCCTGCCTCGCAGAGGGCACCGCGCCTCGCCGGCCTCCGCGGGCACCAGGAGCTGCGCTGCGGAGCTGGTCCGGCCCACCAGGAAAACCAGAGCTTCCTCCTGCTCCTCCTCCTCCTCCTCCTCCTCCTCCTCCTCCTCCATCCCTTCTCCCTACAGATAAGGCCTCCCTGTCGCACACCGAGGCTGGTCGAAAGAGCGGGCTGGGCGTTTCGCTCGAGACTTTCTCACAATGCCGATCCTGCAGCTTAAAATGTGCAAGAGCTTCACAGATGGAGGGCGGTCCGTTTTCCAAATGTGGCTCTTGCCTTAGCGCCGCACGCATTCAAGTCAAGAGTTTCACGGATAGTGGCGACTGTCAACAAAAAATGTTTTCCCAACAAACAGATCAAGGAACGGTGACAAGACAACGTCGCCGTGACCCGCTGCCCACCCGATATGGCTTGATGCGTAGGGTGACAGGGTCCCCTGAAGCCTTCACCAATATTTCAAGTTCTTCGACCAGGAAAACCACAACAAACCCTGCCGAATCGGGTGGCATGCGCAGCTGGACCGTACGAATACGACCAGCCCAGGGCGGGTGGGCACGAGGCCCCGCGTGGCTTGCGGGCCACGCGACCCCAACCCCCGAGCACCTGGGACCCATCTCCAGGACACGGGCGCAGCTAAGGCGCCACATGCGGACAAGCAAACTGCCTGCCGCTGGCCCCGAAAATGTAGCCCGACTGCTGGCTCGCTACCAGGGTACGGTGCCCAGTGCCCACGCGTGGGGCTGCCCGTATTCAGACTGCGGCCCTCGCCCCAGCGCCGAGCACATTCGTCGCAGAAGCTTGCAAGAGCTTCACGGATGGAGGGCGGCTCCTTTCCAAAATGTGGCTCTCGCCTGTAAGCGCCGCGCACACCCGTTTTACGAGCTTGCAACAGTCTCACAGATTCCCATGGCTAACGTGCCAGGAACGGTGTTTCGGCACGATGTTGGAATGTCAGGGCGCAGCAGTCATGTTGATTCGCGATGCTGAAGTCCCAGGAAGGGTGTTCTGGCATGATTCAGGATCGTCAAGACGCAACAACAACAACAACAACAACAACAATCATTTAAGACTGGGGACACTCCGTTCTCACCAGTGCCAGGGTTTTCATAGGAGGCGGGCAATACCCCCACTTTGTGGGGGGGCCGGTTCAAGCTCTACCAAATTTCCAAACGACTCTTCGCCACCACCCACACCCAGCTTCCCGCCCTATGACGTTCGGACACTTCACTTCGTGGCATGCGGACGACCGTGGCTACTATTCAGGGCCCCGCGGCCGACGACGACGGCGTGCGCGCGCGAAGAAAAAACGAATGTGTCCCGCATGGTATTATTTGACAGGGATGATGGCCCTGGCAGGTGCGCAACCGTTGTCGCAGAAGTTCGAAAAAGTTGCTCGCAAAAGCCCGTTTGACAGAAATGTTTAAAAAGTGTTGGGTTTCCTACGAATCCGCAAGAGCGCGCGGGATGAGATTTTGACATTTTTTTGTTGAAAAACCATTGGTTTTTTGATGTTTTTATGTTAAAATCGCTCCGAACACTAAGCTTTTGGAAGGATTTCGTCTTGCGCGCGCGAATGTCCACTTTACCTTATTTTTTGCAAGGGATTCTTGAAATTTGATTATATTAGAACAAGAAATGTCATTTTATAGTGTTTTTTGCAAGGGAAAACGGATTACAACAAAACAACCGGATCTTGATGACATCGTATTACCTGAGGCTTCCTCACGAAAATGATGAAAATGTAGCTGCGGCCTAGGCGGCGCAGGGGGGCCGTGCACCAGGGGTCCCAACAATAATTATTCTTTAGAATTAATAATGTTCAACAACAACAACAACAGCAGAGATTCGCAGCGTAGATGTCCCAAGAACCGCGTTCTGGCACATGGGCCCATGAGGGAACTTTGAGGGAGGGTTAATTGCAATGTCGTGGATGAGCTCCGCCTCATCATCATCATCATCATCATCATCATCATCATCATCATCATCATCATCAGCATCATCATCATCATCAGCAGCAGCATCAGCATCAGCATCAGCATCAGCATCAGCATCATCAGCATCAACATCGGCATCATCATCAGCATCATCACCATCATCACCATCAGCATCATCATCATCATAATCATCATCATCATTATCATCATCAGCAGCAGCAGCATCATCAACATAATTATAATCATCATCATCAGCATCATCATCATCATCAGCATCATCATCAGCATCATCATCACCACCACCATCATCATCAACATCATCACCACCACCACCACCACCACCATCATCATCATCATCATCATCATCATCATCATCATCATCATCCTCATCCTCATCCTCATCCTCATCCTCCTCATCCTCCCTTTCCTCTGTCAATTCCACTTGCGTCTGCGCCCTTGTGTGCGCCGCCTCGTCCGCGTCCGCCCCTACCTCCGCCTCCGCCCACCACCTGCCCATCAAATCGCTCGTTCTCCTCCGCCGATGTCAGACAAGTTCGCCTGCTGAAACGCAGCCTCTCTGCTTGTATCCTAGCTCACCACACTGCGCTACCCTGCCACAACACTCTCTGTGAATCAAAGAGCTCCTCTTCAACATCAGTGCTCATACCTTCCTTCCTCTGAATGGTATCAACATGTCGCGCGTGCCCCTGCAGTGAGCTACCTCATCATATCATGATAGAATTGACAAGCTCTGGCAACATTTCTGATACCGCAAGTCCCAGTCACCCTGTCAGGAACTGGTCATAGTCGATAATGTCAGAAAGAATGGAATCTGCTAGAAACTTCGCCCCTCCCCTTGCGAATGAGGGCTCCTTTCAACTCGAATGCTTTCCATCCTATTCTCACGCATGCTGGTATGCAGACTCGAACGATGCATTTTGATTGTCTGCACCACTGCATGCACTAGTTGATACTATTTGCGACTTGCTGCAACCGCTGACGCTCACACTGGCTCTGGCATCACAAACAAAACGTGAATAATCCGCCGACCCTGTCGGCGTGTGGACCCCCTGTCGGCGTGCGCTCAGTCGACGCATCCGTTGTCCTCTTTCCCTGCGTCTCCGTCGTCCCCTTTCCCTGCACACTCCTCTTTCTTCAAGCCTGCCAGCGAGAAAAAATCGTAGCAACGTCGTACCAAAGTCGAAGGGAAGCCCCTTCCGTTTGATCCCTCCCCCGCCGAGGGGGGGGGTGGTCCCAGGAGGGTCCCGCGGGGGGGTCAGATACGCATCCGCCCCTGGGCGTCCCGGAGCCCAGAAAAGCGCCAAGACGCGTCAAGAGTGCCCTAAGAGGCCCCCAAGCAGGCCCAAGAGTGCCCCGAATCGCCGAACGATCTGTCCAAGACGCCTTCACGGCTTCCAGACGGGTCGAGAGGCGTGCAAGACGCCCCCAAAAGCATCCAGGATCACTCCCAAGACGGCCCCCATGAGGCAACATTCATTGATTCCCTATTCGGTTTGGAACGCTTTCGGCTTTCTGGCCTCTTCCTCTTCCCGACGATCCACACCGGCCCCAGAGGCTTGCAAGAACACCTCGAGACGGCCCCAGAGGTCTCTGAGAGAGTCCCACACATGCCCATCCCTCGGCCCACATGGGGAACATCTCCTTCGCCTTCTACTCTTCCCTTCCACCTTAATCCCCCTCCTCCTCCTCCTCCTCCTCCTCCTCCTCCTCCTCCTCCTCCTCCTCCTCGTATCCGTCGTCGTCGTCTTCAGGGTCGGCGGCACCGGCCGTAAGGCCTTAGCAATAGACGCTGAGCATGCTGCATAATCTCAGGAGGCCCCCATTTCCTGAACATGCCGCGGAGCTGACCCACACGACAGCGGGAACTCCGGAAGACACGGCGCAAGTGCGTCAAGGGATCCGGTGCAGCGCTTGCACTCGTAGAGCTCCCGCTTAGCTTATGTCGGGCCTGTCCCCTTACAGGGGGATTTCCGACGAGAAATCGAAAATACCCCAAAAAGGTATAAAAGAAAGTCCCCAGACCATTTTTGGACGATTTTTGGATTATTTTTGGGGTATGTTTCATTTTTCGTCGAAAATCCCCCCGTAGGGGGACAGGCCCGACTTAACGCTTGGCTTCTGCACAGCTGGTTGCCGCTTCCACGTGCTCGCCCAGTGGCCGGCCGCCCGTGGGCCCAGGTGGACACCTGATGGGCGCCTCGCGGGCTGGCTGCCGTCCCCGGGCTGTCGCCCGGTGGCCGCCCGTGGCCGAGGAGCGGACGCCTCCGGAGCGCCCTGAGCGCCGGCCGTACCACGCAGCTCGCGCCACCGGGCTTCCACGACGCAGCCTGCAGCAGGTGCACTGCAGCACGCAGGTTGCCACCACACAGTTCGCGCCGCACAGCCTGCACCACATGGCTGCTGCCACCTGGCTTGCACCCGACAGCTTGCACCCGATGGCTTCCACCAAATAGCTTCCGCCACAATGCTTCCACCACAAAGATTGCGCACCACATAGCGCGCACAGCCAGTGCACAAGCTTTCCGTTTGGGGTCCACGCTGGAAGAACAGAAACGGTACAAAGTCTGTCTGCACAATGCAACCCCTCCGATCGGCAGGCCGTTCAGGGCAGAAATGATCCACAGTAAAATCACGTTGCCTTTGCCGACCATCAGAAATAAACAATTTGACATAGCCTGCAACCCACCGCATACAAGAAGCAACACCAGTTCGATAGGAAACGCTCCCACACTGGATTTTGTGTTGGAAAAGTAGGCATGAGAGAGGGAGGCACAATGGAGCAGAACACAACGCGCACGTACTATCGCATTTAGTAAACTCGGCTAAAAATACAAAGACATTGTGCTAGGGACGATGACAGATATATGTATGTGCCGTGCTGCGGATATTGATGGAACGTGCGCCCGAGGAGTCGTCAGGATGTCATTCAATATTCAACCGCACTGCGACCAAAGCGCCAGAGAAAATAAGCAAGACGCTCGCGCAAGCTCTAATGGCGATCAAAAGACAACAAGAGAGAGAGCACGGGCAAAGGACGCGATGCAAAACCAACCGGACACCCGGATGAATACCCCAACGGCACACCAAGTCCTGATCACCGCCTCACGCGTCAGCAGCCCACAGACTGACGACCCAAACAACCACACGTTCTCTGGGCCCGCGGGCGCGACCCACAGCGCAGAGTTCTCATCGAGGCGCGTTCCCGTGGCCCCGAGGCCCCACTCGGCCACAAATACCGTGCGAGCCACTGGAACCTGGGGGGACAAACTGGCACCGATACCGCTACGGCAGGTTCGGGTCGTGTCGACCCCGGCATTGGTTCCTGACACCGCGGGGATCGTTCAAACTTGAACGATCGGCCGTTCCGTGAACGCCGGATCGTTCAACGACGGGCCGATTCTGGGCCACGGGCGGCGTTCAACCTCGAACGCACGCGGTGGGGTCGCCGCCAGTCGGCACGACACGAACCTGTCGTACTCCCCAGACCTCTGCATGAGCGTGTCCTGACAATGGTTTCGAAGCGAATCCAGCCGTGGAGACGTGGGTAGCAGTATCGTTATGTTGTCCTCCTCTCTGGTGGTAGCTCATGGGAGCCTCCCATGCCATTTTCCTGGCTCATGCGAATCGACCGTAACCGACGCTAGTAGACGCGAATTGACGCGGAATCGACTCGAAATCTACGAATTTTCATCGACTACCGGACGCGAACGAACGCGAATCCACCTTTACCGTAAAAAGTAATTATCGATCCACCTCCTTACTTTCTTGGATCTGCGGCTCCAAGGACGGCTCCAGGGAGCGGGTCAATCTCAACAGGGGCGCAAGGCGAGACGACTGGCAACGAAGGTACATAGGCCAACGCCGCAATGCACGTGCGAGGGACAAAATGAACCTCATTAGAGCCGACCCGGGGAGGGAAGGCAGCAGACTGGAAAGCCGGCGGAGGTTCGCACAGTGGCGCCAGCCCCCACAGACCAAGCCTGCGAGAAAGCGGGAGCGCTGTGCGGGCAGCACAAAGCCCGAGGAAAGGCACCGCCAAACGCGGCGAGGAGGAGCAGAAGGCGAGACAGGCGCAGGACAGGCGCGGGCGGCGACGAGGGGAGGGGGGGGAGGAAACCAGGCCTCACTCACAGAACACCTCACGTGCTCGAAGCCAGAGTCCCAGCTTGCACCTTCCTTGCCACGGTGGAAGGGGGGAACGCAGCGATGTACCACGTAAGAACCACGTGCTCGAAGCCAGGTGCGTTTTTTTTTTTTTTTTTTTTTTTGTATTCTCCCCCTCCTTACACGTAGCACCAAAAGATTTGAAATAACTCGGGTGTGGAGAAAAACGCGCAGGAATCTTCAGAAGTCCTTTACAACAGTCCTCAGGAATCCTCAGGGGTCCTCACGAAATCTCCGGGAACCGCCCGAAATCCTTCAAGCATCTCCAGAAATCCATCAGACATACGCCCGGAATTGTCTGGAATCCTTCAGGCATCTTGCAGAAATCTTCAGTAATCCCTCCAGAATCGGCAGGAGTCCTCAGGAACCCCTTCAGGGATCATTCTGCATTCCTGAAGAACCTTCAGGAGTCCGCATCAGGAATCCTCAGGAACCCCCAGGGATCCTCACGAGTCCTCCAAGAAACCGCCCGAAATCATGAAAGAACATTCAAAAATCCAACATGGGGCCGCCAGGGATCTTCAGGAATCACTCAGGCATCCTGCAGAAACCTTAAAGGAATCCTTCAGAAACCGGCAAGAGTCCTCAAAAACTCTTCAAGGATCACTCGGGATTCGTCAAGAATCTTCAAGAGTCCACAGCAGGAACCCTCAAGAACCCTCGCGAGTCCTCCAAAGAACCACCCGAAAGCATCAAAGAATCTACAAAAATCCAACAGGAGCCCGCCAGGAACCCTCAGGAATCAGTCAAGCATCAGGAAAGAACCTTGACCAACCCACGGGAACCCGAAATACCCCTCTGGAATCCTTCAGAAATCCTGCAAGGATCTCGACGGAAACCCTCGGGAACCCGCAGGAATCCGCAAGAATCCTTCCTGGATAATCCTGGAATCCTCCAAGCAACACGGCCGCGCCTGTCACACGTCCTGCTCCTCCTCCTCCTCCTCCTCCAACTCCGCCTCCTCCTCCTCCTCCTCCTCCTCCTCCTCCTCCTCATCATCATCATCAGCATCATCATCAGCATCATCATCATCGTCAACATCAGCATCGTCATCATCATCAGCATTATCAACACAATCATCATAATCATCATCATCATAATCATCATCATCATCATCATCAGCATCATCATCATCATCATCAGCATCATCATCATCATCATCATCATCATCATAATCTTCATCATCATCATCATCATCAGCAGCAGCAGCATCAACATCATCATCATCATCATCATCATCATCAGCATCAGCATCATCATCATCGTCATCAGCATCATCAACCTCAACATCAACATCAGCATAATTAACAGAATCATCATCAGCAGCAGCAGCATCGTCATCATCATCGTCATCACCATCATCAGCAGAAACATCCGCATCATAGTGATCATCATCAGCAGCAACAGCAGCATCATCATCAACATCATCATCACACCACCACCATCATCCTCATCATCATCAGCAGCAGCATCATCAACAGAATCATTGTCATACGCATCATCAGCAGAATCAGCAACATCATCAACATCATCATAACCATCAGCATCAGCAGCATCTTCAGCATTATCATTATCAGTATCAGCATCAGCATCATCATCAGCATCATCTGCATCATCATCAGCATCAACAGCATCATCAGTGTCGTCATCGTTATCGTCATCATCACCATCATCATCAGCAAAATCAGCATCCGAATCAGCACCAGCATCAGCATCAGCATCATCAGCATTATCATCGACATCATCACCAGCATCAGTATCATCAGCATCATCGTCATCAACATCATCATCATCATCAGCAGCAGCATCATCATCGTCATCACCATCATCATCAGCATCAGCATCAGCACTATCATCATCATCATCATCATCATCATCAGCATCATCATCATCACCATCATCATCATCATCATCATCATCAGCATCATCATCATCATCACCATCAGCAGCAGCATCATCATTATCATCATCCCTTCTTCATCCCTCCCTGGACGGTCTAACGATATGCCACGCCGCTGGAAGACCTAACCCCCTAGTCCCACCAGCCCTCTGGGCGAGAGTGGCTTGGGGCGGTTCCTCTTCCATCTTCCCTCTCCCTCTTCGGGGACGGGTTTACTCCTCTCCCTATCCCCTACACCCCGGGACCTGGACGGGAGGCTTCGCGAGGGGCTGGAGCGTCCAAGACGGCCTCGGCGAAGAAGCCAACTTCAACGGTTTTGCCAAGAGGTTGTGGCCACATGTTGCCTCTTTGGGGAGGGGGGGGATTCGAACTTCGTCCGGCCCGTCCTTTGATCGATCTCCTCCAAGATGGCCCCGACATGGCGCCCGAGGGCCCCCCGGGGTGCTCCAAGGCAACCCCGAGAGGTGCCCAGCAGGCCCCCCCCAAGGGGGCCCCGCAGAGGCCCCCAAGATGCCCCAGCGATGCTCCCAAGGGACCCATCAAGAGGCCCCAAGAGGCCCCCGGAGGCACCCAAGACGCCCCAAGAGGCCCCGGCGAGAACGCCAAAATCAGCGATGTTACCCAGGTGTTCGCCACATGCTGGCCTCCTGGGGGGGCTACTCAAGGAGCCCCCCTCTGTTCATCGATATCCTCCAACATGGTCCCAACATGGCCCCAGAAGCCTCCAGGGGTGCCCCAAGACGGCCCCAAAAAAGCTGCCCAGGAGGCCCCAAGACGCCCTCAAGAGCCCCCCAAAATGCCCCTCCCCCGCAAGGAGGCCCCAAGAGGCCCCCCAGAGGCACCAAAAACGCCCAAAGACCCAACGAGGCCTCGGCGAGAAGACCCAAATCATTGATGTTACAAAAAAAAGTGTTCGCCACATGTTGACCTCTTGTGAAGGGCGGGGGGCTGATGTCCTGCGACCCCTCCTTTGATCGATATCCTCCCAGATGGCCCCAAGATGGACCCCGAAGCCCCCAATAGTTCCCTAAGACGGTTCCAAGAGGCGCCCAGGAGGCCCCTAGAGGCCCCCAAGACTTCCCCAAGATGCGTCCAAGAGGCCCCTGAGAGACTCCGAAAAGGCCCCAAAGGCCCAAAGCGGCTCCCCCGAGGCACCGAAGGCCCCCAGGACTGACGACCTACCAGCCCACCCCAAAATAGAAAGATTCCGCATATTTTTCCATATTTTCTGGGTTTCTGTCTTCCCCCCCACTTCCCATATTTTTCCATATTTTCTAGGGAATCGACGATGAATTGTGTCTGTGTGTTTCTTTCCCTCCTGAAAGAAAGCGGGTCGGCACAGGGCCGCGAGAGCGCGCGCCTGTGGCGGCAGGCAAATCTGCACGCGCGAGCCGCCGGGAGCAGCGGACGCGGCCTCCGTGGAGTGTCCGGTATGTCAACGGGGCGGCCCTGCCGTCACCCGACGGGGCAAGGGTATCCCCCCGTCGGGCCCGCGCGACCCACGCGGGCAAATGCATGGAATGCGGGAGTTCGGCGGCGCGAAATTTTCGGTATGATTAATCGTCAGAATCGTCGGAATTTTCGGAAATTGCGAGATAGAATCAATCGCAGA